ATATATATATATATATATATATATATATATATATATATATATATATAATATATATATATATGTAATATATATATATATATATATAGATATAGATAGATAGATAGATAGATAGATATATACATACAATATATATATATATATATATATATATATATATATATAATATATATATATATGTATATGTGTGCTGTGTGTTGTGTGTGTGTGTGTCTGTTTGTGGTTGTACACTATCTATTCGATGTTTTTTGTTATTGTTGTTTTGTTTTGTTTTTTACTCACTAGGCGCGCAGTGACTGCACGGTTTATTCGGTGATTCGCAGCCTCCTGTGGTCTGCAGATAGTTCGGAGGGCAGGCGGTGTCGGTGCAGAAGGAGGTGTGCATTCGATGTCATTAATGGCCTGCACTTTGCACTTGTCCTCTTTGATTCTCTAAAAATGTTTTCAGTAACAACAGCATCAAACAGTTGATCATATATAAAGAATATTTAATTCTCTCTCTCTCCTCTCTCTCTCTCTCTCTCTCTCTCTCTCTCTCTCTCTCTCTCTCTCTCCTCTCCTCTCTCTCTCTCTCTCTCTCTCTCTCTCTATCTGTCTGTTTGCTCTCTCTCTCTCTCTCTTCCTCTACCTATCTATCTCATTATCTGCCCATACGGCTATCTATCATTTACTTATAATTTCATCAATTTCATTTCACACAAATCTCCACACTCGCGAGCTCGACTCTTACTAGGCTGACAGCAGACGCATCCAGGGTCCGCTTCAGCAGCATTGGCTTCGTAGCCTTCCTTGCATTTTATGGTACTTCTCTCAGGATATCCCTTCTCCTCTAGGCACTTCCGCGTCACCGAGCATGGGACGCAGCACACGCAGTCCCTATCCAAGCATTTGTTCTCCTCTATTTTGTAACCACTTTTGCAATTCTCTGCTTTGCCGAGACATGTGCCTTCGCATTTATATGGCCTACAGGCAACGCAACAACTGTAACAGACACCAAACACATTTAGAAATATTTGTTTGTGTGCGATCGCTCGCTTTTAAGATTTTATACATGTGAATACACAGAGTACATGCGCATATACAGGTTAGGATCAATAAAATTAAAGGTATGGAACAGTCACTCCCAGCCTTTACACCTTGGAGGATCCCCCTCTAATAATTTTTGATTACCTAATGATCCCTTATATGCAGTATTCTATATAGTACAATGTATGTTAGATATTGTACTGACGAGAATATTGATGTCTGGAAAATGTTTGTGACGTGTTTTTAAATAGGAATTATGAATTGTGAATCAAGACAACTGCCATTTTGTAATGTTATTTTAGGTTTCCCGCCGAAGCACTGGTGATGGTCTGCGAACCCCGGTTGGGAATCACTAGTATAGCGCATGTAATATACTTCACACGCGCACACTTCAATTGTGTGTGTGCGTGTGTTACTAATGTGTGTACGTATGATGCTCTAAATGTGTATGTGTGAATATGTGCATTCATGCTACAGAGTGGGAAACAAGCGCTACTTAACAGGGCAATCAAGAAAGGAAGAGTGCCTTGTACCCCGTCCTGCCTTGCCCGGGGTACCCAAAGTATATTTGTAGATCTTACACTCAAAGAGGTGTGGAAATTTTATTCTACTCTACCTGCAACGGTCACTGTGACAAGAGGTTCCGTTGGCTAACCGCATAGTCAGCCCGCATTCCTTCATACATTTCCCTCCAGAATGT